ATAAACATAGGGGTGCATGTGTCTTTTTGAATCTGAGACGTGGTATTCTTTGGGTAAATTCCAACTAGTGGGATTCCCGGGTCAAATGGTATCTCTATTTTTAGTTTTTTGAGGAACCTCCATATTGCTTTCCATAATGGTTGAACTAGCTTACATTCCCACCAGCAGTGTAGCACGGTTCTCCTTTCTCCACATCTTCGCCTGTGTCTGGCTGCTTTTACTTAGCAAATGATTTCAAAGTTCATCTATGTTGTAGCATATATCAGTACCTCATTCCATTTTATGACTGAATAATATTTCAGTGTATGGATATACCACATTTTTATTTATCCATGGACCTTTGTTTCCACTTTTGGACATTATGAATAATGCTAAGAGCATTCATGTATATGTCTTTGTGTGTACATGTCTTCATTTCTTTTTTGTGTATATGTATCTATATGTGGAATTATTAGGTCCTTTGGTAACCTGTGTTAAACTGTTGCCCAAAGTGGGTGCACTGTTTACATTCCCTAAAGGTTGTATGTATACAACCACACTCTTCACACCCCTGTAGTCTGGCATTAACTGTTACTATTCCTCCTGAACTACTATTGCTAACAGGGACTTCCATGTTGGTAAAACCAGAGGTCCCTTTCCAGGCTTTATTTTGTCTGATTATCAAATTTCTCAGCAACTTTGGAACAGTTTTCCCTTGGCTTCTGACTGACTCTTCTCAATCTCTCTTGCTGGCAACTCCTTGTTCACCTAACTTCTACATGTCGGGAGTCCTCCAGAATTTGGTAGCAGGTCCTTTCTCTCCCCTCTTTTCCTCTATTCCTATGACTTTTTTTTCTAATTGAGATTTTTATTGAGTTAACTGTATATTCTCCTGCAGCTGTATATTCTCGCACAGTTAACTTGTATATTTTCATATAGAGATCCCTTGTACACTTCGCCCAGTTTCCCCAAGTTGAAATATTTTGCAAAACTATAGTATAGTATAATAGGGGGAGTCTAGTAACCATAATATTGTTCATGTAGTTGTACATTAATGATAGCAAAATAAAAAAATAAAAAAACAAAACCATAGTATAGTATGACAACAAGTTGGTGATACAATCCATAGAGCTTATTCAGATTTCCCCAGTTTACTTGTAACTCATTATGTGTATGTGTGTATTAAGTTTTATACAACTTGATCTCCTGTATGGCTTTGCATATCCACCAGTATAGTCAAGATACTGACAGTCCCAACACAAGAATCCCTCCTGTTGCCCTTTTAAGCCACACCCATCTTGCTCTAATGTTCTGTCTCTCCCAACTCCTGGCAGCCACTAATCTCTTCTGCATTTCTAATATTTTTGTCATTTAAAAAAATTACATAAATGGAATTACACATTTTGGGGTTGTAACATTTAGGGATTATCTTTTTTTATTCATCGTAATTCCTTGGAGACTCATTTAAGTGTATGACTCATTCCTTTTATTGTTGAGTAGTAAGTATTACATGCTGTACCACATACCACGGTTTGTCTAACCAGTCATCCACTGAAGGACTTCTAGACTGATTCCAGTGTTTGGCTATTACAAATCAAGCTGCTGTGAATACTCATGTATAGTTTTTTGTGTGACTGTGTTTTCCTTTCTCTGGGATGCACAGTCAAGGGTGCAATTCCTGGTTCATATGGTCATTGCATATTGAGTTTTTGAAGAAACTGCCAAAACTATTTTCCAGTGTTGTGTGGACCTACCAGGAATGTGTGAGTGACCCAGATTCTCTGTATCCTTGCCAACATTTGG